CCAATTATAAATGTATTGTTAGATTAATAGCCATGTTCAGTAATAACATTAACAATTCAAATAATAATAAAAAATTTATAATGTAAATCCTATACACCAGATTGAAATAAATATGTACATTAGAGTGGGTCGGTCTCTATGGACAAAAAAAGTTGTGTCAGTCACCCCCTAGAATTAAAGATATGTTAATAACATTTCCAAAAATATAAAAAATATTTTTTTTGCCACGCCTAGAAATACCGCCCTTTTTGTTTTTTATATATTACGCCGCCATTTTAAGTCCGATCGTAACATGTCATATATCAATATTTATGGCTTGACTGTAGCTATATTTCACTCTTAGAAAATTTTTTCTAAAATTGTGGCTATACTGGAATAAAGTACATTGAATTATATGAACTATTAGCTTTTAAAATGCTCACTTTTATGCAAAAACACCTATTTTATAGATATTTAAAAATGTTCAAGTATTTATCAACCGTTCTCACAACAAACAATTAATTTGCCAGGAAAAACAGTCGAAAAAAATTTTTTAATGAACTATATAAAACAGAAATCCTTTTAATTTTTTCAGTTATAAACCATTTCAGATCCAACTTCCTTTCAAAATAAAAGAAAGTTAACTACATATATCCTACATCAATATAGTGGTTTAGCTATGTCCGTCCTACTGTCATTCCATGTAAACCTTGTTGTCAAACTACGAATCGCAATTTTCCAGATAATTCGAAGTTGTTTGAAGATGGATTAAATCGGAGCCTTTAATTGTGGCTTGCCGTTATTTCCCTCTTAAACACTACCATTATCATAAAATTCTGCATATCTAACTCCTATATGAACATAAATCCCTCCACTAAATTTTGTTGGGATCAGTCTATAATTGATCCTAGCTCCCATATATAGGCTCTTTCAGAAAATCAGTTTTTCATCAATAAATTGCTTAAAAAGTAGTGGACAAATTTCTATATAAATGCTTTATTAAAAAAGAAATCACATTTTAGATATACTCATAACTGGTTCATTCCCGACTAATATTTATACCCTACACCACTATAGTGGTGTACAAAAATATTGGTCCTACACTCACCGATCGATTCAGAATCATTTTTTGAGTCGATTAAGACATGTCTGTCCGTCCGTCTGTCCGGCTGGCTGGCTGTCCATCTAAACCTTGTGCGCAAGGTACAGGCTGCAATTTTCAAGATAATTTGATGAAACTTGGACCAAGCATGTTTTTGGGCACAGGGACGAAGCCCAAATTCGGTCCATTATTTCACCAAGCCCCCATACAACCGTACCTCCCGATTTGGGCTTTTTATGCCATAATTACGTCAAATATACTATTATCTCTCTAAAAATTAACACAAATAAGTTTTATATAAGTATAAATGACACTGCAGATTTTCGTAATGATCGGCCCTTATTTGACCCTAGCCCCCATACAAACCCCTCTTCAAAAAATGTCTTAGACGTCTAAAATTGACTTGTAACCATTTGTATCGCAATGAAACAAAACTAACTGTTATTTAAAAATATATCCTTTTCCCAAATTTAATAAGGATTGGCCCATATTTGACATATACTCCTATATAAAGCCTCATTTAGAAAATTTTGATTTTTATCAATAACTTGCTTAAATACTTTGGAATTAAGATAGGTTAGGTTAGGTTAGGTTAGGTTGATAGGAGGATGTATACTACATCAAATCCGAAGAAATACACCTAGGCCACTATCGGGCCTGTTGTGCGCTCCAATTCAAGAAAGACAAAAAAAAACAAAAATTGTTCACTGAATGTATTATTTTTCCATGTTCAGAAACTCAGTTTCCTGGACGTAATTCCTAAGAATCTTCCAATCGGTGTTGGTTAAGAATGTTATTTCCGGAATAACATCACTTCCAAGATACTTGGATCTAACTTCGACGAATGGCTGACAATGGCAAAGAAAGTGCTCCAGAGTTTCACTGTCCTCTCCACATGCTCTACATTCGTCTGAATCCGCACGTCCAATTTTGTATAGATGTGCTCGTAATCCTGTGTGTCCACTCAGAATACGTACCATCATACTAACCTCAGACTTGCTCATTTTGAGAAGATTTCTCGTCTTGCTCTCATCAGGGTCACCCCATAGAATCTTTGTGGTTCTACCCACCGTTTCATTATTCCAAGAGGCCTTATGGGATTCTCTCATCCATATTTTTAATTCAGCTTTTGTTGCGTCGAATGGTTTTGCGTTTGTCAGGTTAACTACATCGAGCTCCCTTCCCTTTAAAGCTATTACATTCGCCCTTTCGTTGCCGACTACTCCCGAGTGGCCTGGTACCCATATGATGTGAACCTTACCTCTGGGAGAGTATTCAGTTAAAGATTTCTTACAATCCAATACGGTCTTAGATTTAACTCTATCACCTGATATCGCACAAATTGCCTTCTAGCTGTCGGTAAATATATTAAACCCTGTGGCGCCATATTTATTCTAATCCAATTTACACATTCCGTTATTGCTCGTACTTCTGCCTGGAAGCTTGTGTTATGATTAGGTGGTATATTTCTGTTTCTGGGTCTTCAATATAGAACCCCAGGCCCACTTTGTCCCCTAATTTAGAGCCATCCGTGTAGCAACGGATTCCTACTGGTATTTGCTCTAATGTTCCGCTTGACCAAGACATTCTATCTGGGATTAGCGTTTCAAAGTTTCCGACATATTCAGTGTCTGGTATGCGATCAGGCACGTCCGATGAATGTGTATAACCTTCCAATGTGTCCAGTATACATTGATGACGTGTCCTATAACCGTTTTTGGCCAGTTCGCCTAAAGTAAAGAGCCGTTCGGCTGTAAGCGCCGCCTCATATCTTATATATGTTTCAATGGGTGGAATATCTAGCAACGTTTCCAGAGCCTTGGTACACATGGCACCACTTATACCCAAGCAGCATGTACGCTGAACTCCCTGTAGTAGTTTGATATTACACTTTTTGTCCAAAGCAGTCCACCAGATTATTGAAGCATAAGCTAGAATTGGTCTAATTACACTTTTATAAAGCCAATTTGTCATAGTAGGACTAAGACCCCATTTCATGCCTATGGTTCTCCTACATATCGCCCAGCACCGATGTGCCTTGTTGATCCTATCCTCTATGTGGTGTCTCCATTTTAATTTCCGGTCAAGTATTACACCTAAGTACTTAACTTTGTCTGTCACCGGTATCTTCTTGCCCAGGAAGCAAGGTTCAGTATATGTAGAAATTTTTGTCTTTCTTGTGAAAAGACAGATTTCCGTCTTCGCTGGGTTAACATTGAGGCCTCTCGGTTGAGCCCAGTTTAAGGCCGTATTCAGAGCCTCCTCAGCTCTTCTACACAAGTAATTTGGATCCTTTCCCTTTAAAAGTATTACGACATCGTCTGCATAGCAGACAGGTCTAAGTCCTTTCTCGGTTAGGGTCCTTAGGAGGCTATTAATCGTGGTAACCCAGAGTAAAGGTGACAAAATGCCACCCTGTGGTATACCGCGAAATACCTTTTTCCTGATAGTTATATCGTACATTGTTGCGGCATACCTCACCGCACCGAGGGTTTTGACTTCTGGTCACCCCAAAAAAAAAAAAAAAAATTTTGCTTGGGGGACCTTAGGGAAGCTGTCGGCAGGAGGCCAGAAATGCGAATTTGCCTCCACTCCCTGTTTGAAATCAATGGGGAGGGGCTTACGGCCAATGGAGACACCACCTCCTGCCCGAGTCCCGGTGTATTGTTTGAATATTTTGTGGGGAGGGGCTTACGGCCAATGGAGACACTACCTCCTGCCCGAGTCCCAGTGTTTAATTTGTTTTCATGTTAGTATTGTGGTTAATTTTGTTAGTTTTGTTTTGGTTTTTCTGTTTTTTTTTGTTAGTATGTTAGTTTATTAGTTTTGTTTTTAAGTTGTGATTTTCGTTTGTATTTTTGTTGCTCCTATTATATCCCAGCAAAAAAAGTGTGGAAGGAGATGTTGTATTTTCATCACAACTGTAACCCGAAGTGCTTCAAGTTCGGGTGAAAAGCCTATGAATTTTGCATTGGCATGTCATTGGAGGGATGTTGTTCATTTTTGACAACTTTGAACTACCTCTAATCTTATTTTAGAAGCAAAAAAAAAATCCGATATTTGGATGTCAAAAATAATCCAAAATTTTTCAATGACATGTTTATGTAGGGTTCATTGGTTTTTCACCAAAGTTTGATGTACTTCGAATATGTTATTTGTAGTGACTTTTCTACATCTCTTTTCTCACTTTTAACTGGGTTTTCATTTGTAAGGAAATATTTGGTTTATAAAAGCGAAAAATATGTAGTCGCATTTTTGGATGTGATTAAGATGTCGTTTGTAAAGTATGACATCAATTATTTTTTGCTGGGATATGTTGTTTATTGATAGGCTGGAAAGAAAAAAATAAAAGTATTAATAAAAACCCACAATAATCAGGAACGATACAATTTACTTTACCTGTCCCATGAGTACTCCTTTTATTTTTAAGCTGAAAAGAAATGAAAAATACAAATTAAAAATAAAAAAAAATTACCAAAATACTTACCTCCATGTGCTTGTCCGTCCAGCTGTTGTCAGAATTAATGAAAACAGGGTTGCTCAAATGTCAAAAGTAGTAAAAGTATTGGCAACGCAACGTATATCGTAAAAGTGTAGGGGTGTATTTCATTCATGCAGACATGGGAATGTGTATTTTTTTGTAGTAAAAAAATTAAAAATAATTGAATGAAAATACCATTGCTAAAAATTATGAGCTCCTAGTACACAAGGTGGTAGAAATGCATGGAAAAGAGGGAAAGCGCCTTGATTGGGGGAGTTTAAGCTTGAATTACTTATTTGGCCGTGCAAATAAGTAAGAAAAGTCCGCCAAGTAGGAAAAATCCGCCAAATATAAAAATAAATAGAAAAGAAATTAATTATATATATGTAGTTAATTATATGTAGTAATAAAAACAAATAGCGCGGTTTATATGATCGGCGGACAGAAAAAGGCTACGACATGATGAGTAGGGGAAATATGTAAATAAATACCTTATGTAGCAGAATTTTAGGAGAATGAAATTTGCGGGAAATTATATTTACATAAAAGTAGGGGAAGACAAAAATAGAGTATTTAAGCTCACGATAGAAATGAAAATAGCACAGTTGGTTAAAGAAAAGTTAAGTGAGTGTGCAAAAGTGTTTTAAGAAAAAGTAAATTTAAAAAAATTTAAAAAAAGGAAGAAAGTTTTTTTTTGAAAATAAGGAAAAAGAAATGGACTGTAGTCTGAGATTTAGTGAATAATAAATCGGTAAATTTAATGTCCTTAAAATAATCCTGGAGGATCAAATAATTATAAACGTATTTGAACGACAATAATAAAAACGTAAGTTTTTATAGAAATATAGCATAGTGTGTAGGAGTAAAAATGATTTTGTTAATCCTTTATAGCTGGCTAATTTACAAGAAGGAAGTCTGGAAAGTCTGCCATCCAAGTAATTAGCCAGGTATTTTTTTATTTATTCCTTTTAAATAATTTGCGGAATAAGGCAGTAAAGTCAAGAAAACTGCAATAACAAAAAAAACTACCAACCAATCAATCCAATTAAAACGGAAATGTCTTGATAATTATAAAAAAAGGAATTACATTTTTATATTTAAATAGTTATTAAAAACGTATTTAGTGTATGGAATAATAACAATTATATATGTAGCTCACTTAATTTAACCAACATAAAAGTCATACAAAATCTTCCTTAAGTATTATTACATTATTATATGAAAGAAATTTTAAACTTGTCATATAGAAGGCCAGTTACAAACAAACAAGAGATTTAGAACCAACTATTAAAATAGAAAGAGTCCAGAAATAGTTTTTTTTTTTAAATAAGAGAAAAAGAAATTAAATAGATTTAAGATACGTTAAGGTATTTGTGGAATCGTGAAAAATAATATTGTAAATCGTAATAACGTCCAGTAGTTCTGTGTATGTTTGGTTGAATCACGTGAAGCTCGCGTTAAACTGAAAAGAAAAAGAAAATCAAGAATTAGAAAGAGAGTACATATATATATCTTAGGATTATTTACCAGAGCTTAAGAAGAGCGCGTAAAAAGAAGCCTTTTAAAAGTGTCAAGGTATATAACATATAACTCAGGGAGCTCCTTTAGTTGTAGACTATAGAAACGTCAGAATCCGAATTAAGGAAGTAGAAACTTAAGCCCTGAAACAAAAAAAAAAATTGAAAATATAAGATATATATAGAGAAAGAGTTTATGCGGTAAAAGATTAGAAAAATTATTGAAAAAGTTAATAAGAAATACAGTGATTCGGTCAAATTATTAGGTTTTTGTATGTGTTTAGATTTAAGTTATATATTAAGTTTATTTTATTATCTAATAAAAATGTATATTATGAATTGAAATTAATACTTACAATGTTGGTCTAATTAAGTAAAGGTAATGGCGATGATAGACCGGTAAGTGGTTAAAAGGGTCAGGTGGGTTTCGGGTCGCTGGAAAGAAAATTCTGTGGATCCATCAGCGACAAGGTTGGGAGGGCAGATACAGAGGACAACATCTATCTCTGTAAAGGAAACGTGATTAATGTGGTTCAGATTATGTAAGTTTTGTTTGTGATTTGAATACCTTTTTGTTTTGTGTAGAATACGAGTTTGGCGAGAAAGGGTTGGAACCTCCTGAGGTCAGTCATGCCAGTTAGTCGGAAACCTCGCCTTACAACCGGTTCGTAACAACATCTCGCAGCTTATCCATCTGTTCCTTAGCATGTAGTTGATCCAGATACGGAGCACCCGGTCAACATAAAACTGGTCTAGGGATTGGATAAGGGTATCAGTGTGCACGTTATTGAAAGCGCCTTCGATGTCAATGCATACCGTCAGTGTATACAGTTTGCTATCGAAAGATTCACCTATGTAGTGGACAACTTCATTTAAAGCGGTTTCCACCGATCGTCCCTTTACATAAGCATGCTGCTTATATTTAAGGTCTTTGTATGGTATGCTGCTTTTAACCATGCTATCGACTATCCGTTCCAAGGTTTTAAGTAGGAAGGACGTAAGACTTATCGGTTGATAGGACTTAGGTGTCGCATAGCTAGGTTTCCCTGGTTTGGGTATAAATATTACCCTTGCATCCTGCCATTTAACTGGGGTATATGCCAATTTTAAGCATGCAGTGAATATCTGTGACAGATGTACGGAAACCAGTCCCGCCTGCATCTGCAAAAGTGCCGGGAAAATTCCATCCGGCCCTGCAGCTTTATAGGGAGCAAAGCTCTTGATTGCCCCTTTAACCATGTCAGTTGTAATAACTATTTCCGTGTTACCCTCCCCTTCCTCCAATATCGGTTCATCTATGTTATACGATATACCGGGTGGGAAATGAGAATCCATTAGGAGTTTCATTGTCTCCTCCATATCCTCAAGCCTCCTGCCCGTGTCATCGATCATAGATTCCGGTTGGACATGAGTTTTGGATAGGAATTTTTTTATCTTCGATACGTCATTTACGCTATCTACCTGTTCACAGAAAAGTTTCCAGGAGTCTCGTTTGGCTTTTCGAACGATTTTCTTATATTCACCAAGTTTATTACGATACTCATCCCAGTATACTGCGGTCTTTTTACGCCGTGCCCGGTTAAATAGTTTGCGAAGAGTCTTCCCAAGGTTCCGGATCTCCCCAGTTACCCAGGGTTTTTCCTGGGCAGATCTCCGCTCTCGCAGAGGGCAGCTGTCCTCGAACGATTCAAACAGGGCACTTGTGAACGTTTCCACTTTAGCATCTATATCCTCTTTATTTCGACATTGAAAAGTGTCCTGACCTAAACGGTTCTTTAGTAAGGTCCGGAACATTGTCCAATTTGTTTTAGACTTATTCCGAAACTTTATCGGCTTTGGTGGTGGCCTTAGTATTTTGAATCTTATGTACCGATGATCAGAAAAGGAGTGCTCGTCCGAAACTCTCCAATCCTGAATTTCGTTTATAAGCTCTTCTGAACATATAGTTATATCTAATACTTCTTCTCTGATTCTATTGACGAAAGTAGCTTTATTACCTAAGTTCAATGTTATCAAGTCTTTAGTATTAAGGAAATCCATGAGGGCTTGTCCCCTGCGATTGGTGTTTGTACTACCCCAAGCTACATGGTGCGAGTAGGCATCACAACCTATTACAATTTTCTTATTTTTTTTTGTGCCTCTTCAATCAGTTTCATCAGATCCGACGTTGGTGGCAGTGTCGGAGAATCTAAAGGCAGGTAAATAGATGCAAGGAATATGTTGCCACGACCTTGCTTCAGCACCGTTGCATCCGATGTTGATAATCCTGTTGAGAGGAGAAAACATAAGTTCTTGTGACGTAAGATACATGTTCTCGGGCGAGATCCTGTATCAGCGTAGAAAAGTTGGAAATTTACGTGATTTAATCCAGAAACCTTGTTGCGAATCGTCCACGGTTCCTGGATTAAAGCTATATGTATTTTACCTGTGTTGATTTTAGCCATCAGAGCGTTGGTAGCTGTCTCGCCCCGATGGAGGTTTATTTGGATAACCTCAATCATGGTCATCCATTAAACTGTCTTCCAGCGAGTTGGTGGTCACCTCCTCGCTCTTTGGATTTGTCTCCTCCGGATAGCCTGAAGTGGCTATTAATGCAGTGGGTACTGTTGATGGCACTGCGGTGTCCTTATCAGGCATAGGAATAGCAGTATTTTTAATAGACACATTCCCAATTCTGGAGAGCATTGCTGTTCTGTCTTCTGGCGGGTGAGTGATTTCCTCCTCGCTTTTAGGATTTGACTCCTCAACATTGCTAGTACTTGCTAATGATGCTTTGGGTACTGTCTTAGGTGTTTTAGTGTCCCTGTCGGGGCCGGTTTTGACAGCCCTTTCAATCGGCGCCTTCCCAATTTTGGAAAGGGCAACTACACTTTCTTCTGGCGATTTAATGGTAAATTCCTCGATTTTAGGATTTGACTCCTCAACGTTATCAGTAGTGGATACTGATGCTGTGGTCTTAGGTTTTTTGGTGTCCTTTTCGAGGCTTGTTGTAACAGCCCTTCCGCCTGGCACCTTCCCAATTTTGAATATGACAGATTTAGAGGCGAAGTAAGCCCTTCCTTTATTCTTGGCAAGACTAGCCATGGATTTCTGGTCGATACCTATTACAAATAAAGTTCCCTCAGGTTCTTCTTTCCTGTAAAAGACATCCCATTTTTCCACGGCCAGCTCAGCATTTTGACCTCCACGAATTTCCAGTATACGTTCATTGGCTAGTTTAATGCCCCATCCTTTTATGTAGACAGTGGACTTTAGAAGCACCGGAAGCTCGCTCTTCTTTGCCAGTCCCAGCCTAGCGCCGTCCCAGGGAAGAGGGATACTTTCCACCAAGTTCTTTAGGGTGCTAACACATTGATGAGATGCCAACCTCATCAACATCACGCCCATGCTGAACTCGCAGCTCTCGCTCTCTATTGGTTGTTTGCCCTTTGAAGCGATTGCATGGTCCACTATATTATTGTTGACCAGGTCTTCTATTTTACTCTGTTGGTCTTTTGGAATTTTGCCTGCCGGATTACCGGCATCGTAAACTGCATAGCAGAGATCGTCCCGGTGCCTACTTCTGGCAACTTTGGCATAAGATGGTGGCTCTTTTCCTTTTCCTCCGTCTAGCTTCTCCTTCCTCGTTTTTCGGGGCTTCTTTTGAGATTCCCTTACCTTCGAGGTTGATTTCGCCGACGTGTTCGTCTTCGGAATATCTGGCTTGGCGTTGTAACCCTTACTCGCAGGATTCTCACTTGAGATTCCTTTGAGTGAAGTATGGCTTGGCTTCGACTGTTTATTAGAAGACGGGGAGCTCTTTTTCTTCTTAGGCTTATTCTCAGTTGTCAACTCCTCGGGAGACCTGATCCTTTTTACCTCAGATCTTGTGAGACAGTCCGATTTTTCCTTTGGAGTGTCGTGGGATTGACTAACTATGATTTCCTGAAGCATCTTTTTCAACTTCCTCCTCTGTGCTCCAGAAAGTCTTTTCTTAGTAATAGGTAGTTTAGCTATGCTATCACTCACCTCTTTCACCATTTGCTCTACTTCATCCTTTTTGGGATTTGCTATAATGGTATTATTATTATTATTATCATCTGAGGATTCAGAGTCGGAACCCTCACCTATATTTAAAGGCTGAGGTAGCTTAGAGCTCTCTCCGAGTACATCCTTCTCTTTCACCCCTATATTTTTGCCAGCGGCATGCTGTACACTTGACGCATTGTCCGCCACGGAGGCCAAGGTACCCACCTCCGTAATAGTATTTTGCTCACGATTGCAGGATGACGACGACACGTGACTCGCGAGTAGATCAACACTTGCCGCCGGTACTGGGTTATTTAGGCCCTGCACCGTAACTTTTATCTTTTTATTTTTATTTTCCATATTTGTTTTTTCCAGTTTTTTGGTCCGCGGGGAATATAATATTCCCAGGTGGTGGACAATCTGCCCTCCTTCAGCTTAAGTGAAATTAAAGCTGGGAGAGAACAGATGGTCCATCACCACCCCCTATCCGCCACCCGGGGACGCGCTCGGTAGGAAAAAACTGGAAAACTCCCCCGAGTTGGAATTAAGATAAAATTCAATATAAAAGTTTTTTTATGAAAAATAAAAATTTTAAAAATATACTCATGGTGTAGGATATTATATGGTCGACCATGCCCGACTATACTTTCCTACTTGTTTTTTATTAGTTTTTATTTCAAGAACTTCTTTAAAAATATATAACTATTTAAGAAAAGTTAATATATCTTTAAATAAATTTATTACATTTTATAAAAATTAGTATAAACATTTTTGAAAATTGTTAAAAAAAAAACTAGAAACATGCAAGTAATTGTATGGTAAAAACATGAAATATTTTTATAAACTCCTTAATTTTTCATCGATTTTTATAAAATAAAATGTTTAGTTTTTATGTAACTACGTGATTTTGTTATTAATTAATAAAATTAAATGCTGAATAAAATTATCTTTCTTGTGTTAAGATAGGGGGCAGAATGAAATTTTTGTATTGTAAATTAATTAAAAAAAATAGTTTTCGACCATATCCCTAGCAAATTAATTGTTTGTAGTTAGAACTATACAGGTAGTTTTAAATACCTGTAAAATAGGTGTTTATGCATAAAAGTGAGCATTTTAGAAGCAAATAGCTCATATAATTAAATGTACTTTATTACAGTACAGCCACAATTTTAGATTTTGGGGAAGGATCCGAGATATCAGAAGTCGAGCATAGAATATGCGTCGAATTAAAAAATTGTCAGAGAGTGAAATATAGCTACAGTCAAGCCATAAATATTGATATGGCGACGTTATATATAAAAAACAAAAAGGGCGGTATTTCTAGGCGTGGCAAAAAAATATTTTTATATTTTTTGAAATGTTATTAACATATCTTTAATCGTAGGGGGTGACTGACTCAACTTTTTTTTCGACCCACCCTAATGTACATATTCAAATATCAACAGAAGATAGATATTCTAAAACTTTATTTTTATAAGTAGAGATGGAATATGATAATAATTTAAGTTCCGATGGTAATTGATTCCAAGTGCGGGAAATCCTTAATTTAAATGAATGCTCAAAAATTGAAAGATGAAAACAAGGTTCCTCAATTTGAAATTTCATTAACAAGACTATTTGTCTGCCTGAATTTCATAACCTTGTAAAAATGTAATAGTAAACGTAGGTATAAATAATTAGTATAATTACAACGTAGAAAAATTGGAATATATTCAGAGACAAAGTCATAATCACGCAACTTAAAAATCCTACCTTTAGTTATTGGCAAGTTGTAATAATGGGCCTTAAACTAATTTAGCCTTTTTTTAAAGTCCATAAAATTGCTTAACAAAAGTATTCGAATTTTGTGAATACATCATATGTATTTAGAACAGCATTATGAGTTGTTATAAATATGACCACAAATTTTCCAATGGAGTTAAAGTCCCGTCATTACCTCCATTGGAAATTTGGTGAAAGAAGATACTTAGCGTTTTTTATTGAAAAATAAATTGATTGGGTTGTAGCCCCATTTTGGTGGTACTGACATGCAAATTCTGCTTTAAAATTTACTATTAGACCTTCTAGTCTATAATTACATTAATAAATTCTAGCAGTCCAACATCGTGGGCGGACACAAAACCTCAAACTATGACAGCCACTATTTGACGACCTGATAATGGTAAATATTCGACGGAATTTCTATATTCCATGCGTGTAATAACAATATATAGTGTGTTTCAAAATTATAAGAACAAATATATTTTTCGAATTTCTCTTCAAGTATTGAATGGATCTACAAAAAATTTGTACAAATAATACATTTTTGCATTTACTATTTATACATATACAAAAAAATAATTTTGAGATTATTGTTGTTGCATTTCTGGAAGTTTTCCGTTATTTTAATGTTGCATAATTATAAAACCAAATCATTAAAAACCTATTATGCAACTTAGTAGGCCAAAAATCTTGGATATAATTGGTCCTAAAATAAAGAAATAAATTGTGTCTTTGATGTACCATGTAGATTTTTTTCATTCTGACCCTGCAAAAGGTAAAATTTCGGCCATAAAAGACCAACTTTTGAAATTTAGGCAAATTGCTCAGAAATTGGATAGGATTGAGAATGTTGTTATTTTTTTTTATTTATCGTGATAATTGAGCACAAACCAAGTGATCAGCATGACAGAAAACTCTTTCCCAGCGAGAAATACCCCATATTATTCGTAAAAAGAACAATTCAACTTTGAGTTTAAAATATATAAAAGCTCAGATTGGCGTTTCAGTGCCTAAAATAACAGTGTGGAGGACAATTTCAGAAATAAATAATTCAAAATAATTAAAATTCCGCGGTTACTACCCCATCATGTTACTGCAAAGCTCCAGTTCGCGAAAGAAAACATGCAAGTAAATTACATCCAAATATGACTTTATCTATTTTTTTGTAAATGGGAAAATAACTATAAATTTTACATCAGTTTATATTTTCGAAGGAAAAAAGCGGAATCCAGATAGAAAATAAGGATATTGGGGAGATATGAGCAAGGATTCCCTACACTTTCCCAAGAGAAATTTTAGTGATGGGTTGCTGATGGTTAGTGCAGCTTTTTGCTCCGACGTCTGCCTCCAATTCCAATTTCATTCATGTAAAATTAACAGCACGTCCTTCGCCAGAACTCTAGAAATTAATTTTGTGCTTTTCATGACACAAAGTCCAACAAAAAACTAAATTTTCAGCAAGAAAATGCTTTATACCCAACATAAGATTTTTCAAAAACTGGTTTAACACCAAAAATACACCTGCTTTAGAGTGGTCAGCAGTGCTAACTAGATGTAAAGTCCATGGAAAGTCTTTAGGGGATACAACCCAATCGAGTTTACTTGGGAAATCAACGTATGAAAGCCTTAATTTACAAAAAAATGGAATTTCACAGGAATCATCAAATATTTATCAAAATATTATAAAAACTTTAGTAAAAAGTGTGAATTCTGGAATATTTAATCTTCTAAAATATAAGGGAGGCCGAATTACCAAATAATTTTTTAAAATTGTGTTTAATTTTTAAAAAATAATGAAGTGTTTTTATAATTTTGAAACACAGACCAACTTGTTATTTGAAAAATATTAGAAATTACGAAAGAAATGGAGACAAATTGCATATCCATCAAAAGCACGTTTAATGATGATCATGTTTCCAAAATAATTTATAAAATTTATTAAACATTTTTAAGAAAAATATTATAGTAAAAAGTGTTCTTATAATTCTGAAACACACCTTATTGTTAATAGGAATCTATCAAACATTTCCGATATGTATTTAATTGTTCGGCCTTGGGTATAGAGAAATAAATGTTTTACTCTGAATTGTCCAACTTTTTTCCTTTGGACATTTTAAGTGCTTATACAGTAAGAATTACTTTTTTTATTTCTTAATTAATAAAATATAAAAGCAAAAATTTAAATATTACTTTTGTGGCCGCCGGTATTTTAAAGGTTAGTATTCTAGTCTGATAGACATTGGTTGAGGAGCGCAAAACAGGCCCGATAGAGGTGTAGGTGTATTTCTTTCTAACTGACTAATAACCCCCATTATCTCAATTTTATCGTAAGGTTAAATTGACAGTTTTCATCCAAAAAATATTTTAACCAGCAGAATATCCACAGGTTAAACGATAATCGGAGGTGGAGATAACGGGGCTAATGCCATTGTCATCATCCGATTAGCATCATAAAATAACAGTAATAGTAAAGTAAAAATACTAAATTCGAGTATTTTTGTGAGACACTGTATATAGTGCTAAAATTAAACTAATGATTAACTTTTAATATTTATAAAAAAGGCTATTTCAGTGTCTGATGGATTTTATCGTTTAAAAGCAGTTGTGGAATATCCAAATGGATCAAAACGCACATTTTTTACAGCAAACAAAGCATGTAATTTACTCAGTAGCCAATTAAACGATGAACTATGGATTTCTATTGATGCCAATGGCTACGTTAACGCACTGTCTTTGTCAACTTCTGACGGAGATTTTACGGATTGTTCAATGTTAGATTTTTCCAATTTGTCTACGACCAAATTCAATACAGAGGTGTTGATTAAACATACTGAACTTGCTCCAATACCAGACACGGCAAGTTTTATTCAAAAAATTGAAAGAGAACGTGAAGCAAGAGAGCGTGGGGAAAATAAAGACAACAGGGGATTCTTTGCAAAATATGTAAGTATTTTATTTTTAAAATAATTTATAAAATATGAATGTTATTTCCAAACCATATGTAAATCATTTTTTATGCATTTTACACCCAGCAAAATATTTGCTTACAAATTCACTGCAGACTGGAGATGAACTCAGCACCTTCCGTATGCTAGTTGAACTATGCACAGTGGTATAGGAAAAAAAAAAGAGGGAAATAATTCGGTAACTTCTAAACGGTTAATCCGATTTTAATGAAATTTGGTATGCACAAAGAGGAGGTGTTGTCGAGTTTAGGTTTTGAATTTGGACCTTATAGGCCAACCAGGGGCACGGCGGGGGGTCCTCAAATTAGGACACCTCGGCTATGTTAAAAACGATCCTATTTCTTCATTTGAGTTCCGATTTAAATAAAATTTCGTATATAGAATCTCCTCATCGAGCACTATAAAAAATGTAGCAGTAAATTATCTCTTATAGTTTAGGAGATATTCGCATTTGAAAATTAAAATTTTAAAATTTTTACCGTCCTTACTTTTGTTTTTTGATAATAGCGGGTCCAAATATTCCCGATTTTCGCCATTTTTTTATTCGCTTAACAACAAGTTTATATATCATGCAGTGAAAGAATTATGTAAAAATCATGACTGAGTCCAAAGTTATAGGCATTTTAATTTAAAAAATTAAAAAAAAAGCGATTTTTTGCCATTTTTTCGGGAAAAAAGTATCTTTTTCTTTTTAAGTTATCTAAAAAATTTCTAAGAAGATGTATATAGAATTTATACTTTTTGGAAAGCTGACTTTACATAAAATACGATAAATGAAACAAAACCTAAAAATTTTTGATACCGAGGGGACCAGGTCCATCCAAAAAAACCCTATTTTTTATGGAAAATTCAATTTTCTTAATCATTTTGTAACGGGTTTCGATAACCCCGCCCCTGGTATGGATATAATAGGCAAAAAACCAAAAAATCCAATTTTTGGGATTTTTTAAAACTTTTTTGGGAATTCCGGGATTTCTAATAAGAAAATTCGAAATTTTTATTTAATTTTGGATTTTGAGTTAAAAAATCTACCTAACTGTAAAATTTCATCAAAAAATATTCATAAATAAAATTTTTATTGCAATTTGAAAAATTTGTATCTTCGCAAAAACTGAATAAAAAACATTTTTTAATTTTAAAAAAAAAAAAGTATTCCGCGAATTTTTTAATTTTCAAAAATTATATACAGTTTTGAAAAATAAACAAAATTACCTTTCCATTGATATATAAGATGCCTACCTAATGTTTTTTAAGTGACAAATTAATTAGGGAAAACTCAACATCTTTTAGAAAATTTACCTAGCACTATTATTTTCATCCATAAGGTTAACTCTTAAATTTGTTATATATATTAAAAAATGTTCAGGTATTATTTTTTAAACTGTAATGATTTTTACCCCTATAGGTCACTTTAATAGGTAGCTTATTAAAGTGACCTATTGAGGAAAAATTCATTACATAAGGAAACGTCGAAATTTTCTGATTGGCTGGATGAATGTGTAGAAGTTGCTATTTGCGTATCAACTGTTGGTGCAAGCAGTATGAGGATTTGAGTTCAAAATCAAAGAGGAGAAGGTTATCAACTTCACTAGAAACCTTATCTAACGAAGAAGTTTCGGACACTTTTAAAGCAATGTTAAGAAAAGAAAAACAGCCTTTGGATGCCATAAAAATTGCAAATATTCTTCCAACCGCATCACCAAGACGACTGAAAAGAATTGTAGAGAGTATACCCACACCATCATCTGATACAACGTTCACTGAGGAAGAAGCTATTGCGCTTATGTTGCAGCTGGGATTAAGTCGTGATAACTACATAACGTTAAGAAAGGCGCTATCTGAAAAAGGAGTGGATGTTTTACCATCATATGACAAAATAAATGAAAAGAAGAAAAGCATTATACCATCTCCTATTGAAATAACTGATCGGAAGGCTGTTATTGGACTCGGCACTCTACTCGAAAATACTGCTTTAAGGATTGCTTCTGACTTTTCTTCAGACCAACTAAAAAAATAAATTCTTGTGATCTTCAACTCATTTGTAAGTGGGGATGTGATGGATTATCAGCACTCTCGGAATATAAACAAATCAACACAAGTGAATCATCTTCCGAGTATAAAAGTGTATTAATGGCATCGCTAGTTCCATTAAGAATTCGAAAGTATGCTGACAGCGATTCTCCATCAACCAGTTTCGATGATATTTGGAAGAATTCGACTCCAGGATCCAAAGCTTTTTGTAGGCCAATAAGCTTTGAGTATATAAAAGAATCCAAAACAACAACGCAAGATTTGATAAATCGTATTGAAGCAGAAATTAAAAACTTGGAACCTATAACAATCGAAATAGAAAATTATTCGTTTAACATGTCCTATGATTTAAAACTACTGCTACATATGTGGTGATAAAAAATCAGAATTTTCGAATATTTCCAAGCAAAGGTCAATAAATGAGGAAACATTACAATTTGGAATATCCCCCCTACATGCTCGCATACGATTTCTGGAACATTTTCTACATTTAGCATATGATTTAAAGTACAGAAGCATACCGGAAAATGCAAACAAAAGTGCAAATAACAATAAGGAGTTAATGGAAATGAGAGCCAGTGAGAAAAGAAGAATTCAAGAGGAATTTAAAAAGCGGATGGGATTAAATATTGATATGAAAGCACAAATGGATGGTAATACCGCTAGACGTTTTTTCAAACATTTTGAAACTACTTCCGAAATAACCGGAATTAATATGGATTTACTGCAAAAGGTCAATATTATTCTAATGGCGATAAATAGCAAGCATAAAGTGAACGCAACAAAATTTGGAGAGTACTCTACAAAAGTTTCTAAATTACTTTTGGAATTATATCCCTGGAAAGAAATGACACCTACAGTTCACAAGATATTATGTCATGGAAAGGTCATCATAGAGCATAATATTCTGCCTTTAGAGACTTTAAGCATATTCATCAGTTTAGCTCAAGGAAGTGTTCTAGGCAGTATCAAAATGAAGATATTTTTAATAATCTGATTCTATCTTCTGATCCTGTTTTATCTACTATAAGGAAACGTTGGATTTGCTACAAAACGTTAGCATTTGAAAATATTCATGAATTTAAAGATTTACTTTATCTTTTAGATATGGACTACTGTGATACCGATTATTTTACAAAATTATATTAATTTATAAAAAAATAAATAAAGACTATTTTTATATAAAATAAATACTTGTTAATTTTTTTAGGGATAAAGAATAAAAGATTAATCGTAAAAAGTGGCTGTAAAAATTCATAAAAATTTAGGTAGTAAAACATGCCTAACAAAGGTATGGATGAAAATAATAGTACTAGGTAAATTCTCTAAAAGATGTTGAGTTTTCCCTAATTAATTTGTCACTTAAAAAACAATAGGTAGGCATGTTATATATCAATGGAAAGGTAATTTTGTCTATTTTTCAAAACTATATAATTTTTGAAAATTAAAAAATTCGCGGAGTACTTTTAAAAAAAAATTAAAAAATGTTTTTTTGTCAGTTTTTGCGAAGATACAAATTTTTCAAATTGCAATAAAAATTTTATTTATAAATATTTTTTGATGAAATTTTACAGTTGGGTAGATTTTTTTACTCAAAATCCAAAATTAAATAAAAATTTTCTTATTAGAAATCCCGGAATTACCAAAAAAGTTTTAAAAAATCCCAAAAATGGGATTTATTGGTTTTTTGCCTATTATATCCATATCAGGGGCGGGGTTATCGAAACCCGTTACAAAATGATTAAGAACATATTGGGTCATATAAAACAGGTCACTATAATTTGATATCGACTATGCGATTTGCGAATTTTTGCTCAAAATTGAATTTTCCATAAAAAATAGGGTTTTTTTTGGATGGACCTGGTCCCCTCGGTATCAAAAAATTTTAGGTTTTGTTTCATTTATCGTATTTTATGTAAAGTCAGCTTTCCAAAAAGTATAAATTCTATATACATCTTCTTAGAAACTTTTTAGATAACTTGAAAAGAAAAATATACTTTTTTCCCAAAAAAATGGCAAAAAATCGCCTTTTTTTAATTTTTTAAATTAAAATGCCTATAACTTTGGACTCAGTCATGATTTTTACATAATTCTTTCACTGCTTGATATATAAACTTGTTGTTAAGCGAATAAAAAAAATCGGGAATATTTGGACCCGCTATTATCAAAAAACTAAAGTAAGGACGGTAAAAATGTTAAAATTTTAATTTTCAAATGCGAATATCTCCTAAACTATTAGAGATAATTTACTGCTACGACAACATTTTTTATAGTGCTCGATGAGGAGATTCGTATATAATTTTTTTTAAATCGGAACTCAAATGAAGAAATAAGATCGTTTTAAAAATTTAACATAGCCGAGGTGTCTTAATTTGAGGACCCCCCGCCGGGCCCCTGGTTGGCCTATAAGGTCCAAATTCAAAACCTAAACTCGACAACACCTCCTCTTTGTGCATACCAAATTTCATTATTTCCTATACCACTGTGCGATGTACTGCTTGACATTTGCTAACGTGTGCTCAAAAAATAAAAAAAATAAAAAGTAACTTTTATTTTTGTTTCTTTATTTTGAGTAAGTCATTAAAAAAGTAGTTAATGGTAGTCATTGTAAGCAGATTTTGCTGGATATTAAAAATTGATTTGTTTAATATAATTAAAAGTTTGGTTATTACATATTTTTATTTTTATTATCAAATATTTTCAATTTAGCCAACTTTTAAACGCATTAATTTTATTTTTATTTTAGTGGATGTATATCGTTCCTGTTGTGCTGTTAGTATTTATATCTGGAGCAACTAATCCTGAACAACAAAAATAAGTTTTGTAATCTTATAAATACCAAATATACTAATGGGTATTTCCATTTTAAAATATACATATAAATAAAAAAATTAGAAAAATAATTACTATAACACAGTGCAACAGTAATTTTCACACATGAAAAAATATGCAAGAAGCCATATGTATTAACTCTGTGTTCTCAGTTTTTATACCCTACACCACTATAATGGGGAGGGTATTATACGTTTGTGCTGATGTTTGTAACACACAAAAATATTGGTCCTACACCCACCTTTAAGTATACCGATCGACTCAGAATCACATTTTGTCCGTCCGTCTGTCCGGCTGGCTGTCCATGTAAACCTTGTGCGCAAGGTACAGGCCGCAATTTTCAAGATAATTTGATGAAATTTGGACCAAGCATGTTTTTTGGCACAAGGACGAAGCCTATTGAAATCGGTCCATTATTTTACCTAGCCCCCATACAACCGTACCTCCCGATTTGGGCATTTTAAGCCATTCGCAAGCTCTAAGGGACTTGAGTCGGGAGATTTTGATGGACAATCAAAGAGTTTGGATCCCGATAACTACTCTTAGATCAACTTTGCCAAAGGTTTTGGTTCATTATCATGCTGGAAATCGCATTAAAGTAAGTTGTTCTGTTCAATGTACTTAATCCTATGGTTGCTTTTGTTGGCCAAAAATGTCCCAGAAAGTAAAACAATCCAATTTTATTTGCATTTCAACATCAATACTTACTCTACTCACCAAAAATCTTGCCCACAACCTTAATTGTTTGACCTCCATGTTTTTTTAAGCCTTTAATGTACGATCATGTAACCGCATATGAATCCCGCAGTGACATGGCACAGAGTTTACTTAAAGAAATTCGATTTTTTCACAAATTTTGTACAATTTTGCGTAGAATATTGAAATAGATTACGCAAGTCTGATAAAAAACAGTTTTATTTATAAACGGATCCACATTTTCCTTCTTAAATACAGGCAAAGTATGTGAGGCTCAAAGGCTGAAGGAAATATTATAACATATCCTTTTAGTGAAGGCCCAATAATGAATGGAGAGCAAAAATTTAAGGCTGTGGCCATGTTTTTTGAAGAGAAGGGTTAGTCCTGATGTTGAAACACAAACAGAGTTGGATTGTTTTTCTTCTTGGGACGTTTTTCGCCAACAAAATGAATTATATGATTGAGAACAACGAACAGAACAACTTACCTTATCAGCATGATAATGAACCAAAACCTTTGGCAAAGTTGATTTAAGAGTAATTATCGAGTAATGGGACCCAAATTATTTGATTGTCCATCAAAATCTCCCGACTCAAGTCCCTTAGAGATGTTGTTCGGCATTGAAGCGCTGGGTCGAAACTCGCAGTTTTAGAAAACATTGCAGCTTGCGAATGGCTTAAAATCCGCTTGGGATACATTACGAACTACACTAGTAACTAATCTATTCCATAAAGGTGTTTGGAACTCAAAAGGATCAAAGATTGGCTTAAAATCCGCTTGGGATACATTACGAACTACACTAGTAACTAATCTATTCCATAAAGGTGTTTGGAACTCAAAAGGATCAAAGATTTTCATAAGAAGATCAAAAAGTTGCTAAAGTTTCAAACAGCTAAATATGGAGTTAATTCAGTTATTATTTTCTTGTAACTCACAGCGAAATGGAAATAAACTTTTGTTGTTGTTATTATAATGTAGACACATAATGTTATTATTATCAATTGAAGCATGGATGCGAATAAGGGCGTAAAGACCACCTTTTCAAAATCGCGTTTTTTCGCATAATTATATTAAACTAACCTTTTTACATCTATTCATAAAAAAATAAATTGAAAAATATAAATTTTTCGCTAAAATAGATAGTTTTAAAAGCACGATTTTTAAATACTATTTATTTTTTTGGGTAAAAAATATTAGCAATTTAATGTATTTTTCTGTAAAAAATCGTATAAATTTTAATTCTAATTGCACCAAATTTGCAGAATGGTTGGAAAACATTTCAAATTTATTAATTTTTTAATTATATTGCAAAAAAGATTATTATTGAATGAATTATTTAAGTATGAAAGTGTGGACAAGAAGAAGGGCGTATATCCATAACTATAGTTATATTTTAAAAAATTATTATATCTTGTTATTTTCGGATTATTTTAGTTAAAGAGGTCCTATCCAATTTGATAATGAACTAAGATAATAATGTGGTTCGCTGATTTTGACAATAACGCAATAAGGTGCGATTTAAAGATTTTTCTAAGAAAGATTTTTCTAAGTACAATTTTTACTATGCTATTGTTATTATACTATTTTTATATGCATATTACTATAATTGATTGATTAATATACCAAAAAAATCTGAAAACCGCTTATAGCAAACAATTTTTTAAATATATAGAAAAATTTAACTGTCCTTACACCCTTTGAATACTTTTAAGCCAGAACGAATAGGTGGGACTTTTTAGGTAAATATATGAGGAAATACTGTCGTTTTCTTCATTCTATATAGGTACACTTGATTATTTTGTCTTTAAAATCAGTTTTACCTTCAAGTTGTCATAAAATTTTCGTGCATAATGGACGCTATTACAAATAAGATAAATAAAAATAGAAAAAGGAAACTTAATGTAGAGCAGTGGAAAGATCATAATAGAAAGACCCTAAAAAACGCCGGTAAAGAATATATAAGAAGAGATGGAAGAGTTGTACCTAAGAAGTGTCCTCCAAAAATGGTGATTATAGAATTAACATTGTGTATTTAAAAACTTATAAATTATTTTTAGATATGTAATTGTACCAGTGCATCAAAATATTGCAAAAATTTCACTAATCAGGAATTAAGAGTCATTTTCAATGAATTTTATTCAAAAAATTACAACATCCAACAACAGTATCTTAAAGATCTCATATGTATTAAGAAACCTCAAAGAAAAAGAACGAATAATATTATATCAAAACGTCAAACCACAATTCTTTACTATTTATATAAAGATGCCAACAAAATTAAAGTGTTATTAACATATCTTTAATCGTAGGGGGTGACTGACTCAACTTTTTTTTTCGACCCACCCTAATGTACATATTCAAATATCAACAGAAGATAGATATTCTAAAACTTTATTTTTATAAGTAGAGATGGAATATGAGAATAATTTAAGTTCCGATGGTAATTGATTCCAAGTGCGGGAAATCCTTAATTTAAATGAATGCTCAAAAATTGAAAGATGAAAACAAGGTTCCTCAATTTGAAATTTCATTAACAAGACTATTTGTCTGCCTGAATTTCATAACCTTGTAAAAATGTAATAGTAAACGTAGGTATAAATAATTAGTATAATTACAACGTAGAAAAATTGGAATATATTCAGAGACAAAGTCATAATCACGCAACTTAAAAATCCTACCTTTAGTTATTGGCAAGTTGTAATAATGGGCCTTAAACTAATTTAGCCTTTTTTTAAAGTCCATAAAATTGCTTAACAAAAGTATTCGAATTTTGTGAATACATCATATGTATTTAGAACAGCATTATGAGTTGTTATAAATATGACCACAAATTTTCCAATGGAGTTAAAGTCCCGTCATTACCTCCATTGGAAATTTGGTGAAAGAAGATACTTAGCGTTTTTTATTGAAAAATAAATTGATTGGGTTGTAGCCCCATTTTGGTGGTACTGACATGCAAATTCTGCTTTAAAATTTACTATTAGACCTTCTAGTCTATAATTACATTAATAAATTCTAGCAGTCCAACATCGTGGGCGGACACAAAACCTCAAACTATGACAGCCACTATTTGACGACCTGATAATGGTAAATATTCGACGGAATTTCTATATTCCATGCGTGTAATAACAATATACTTATTGTTAATAGGAATCTATCAAACATTTCCGATATGTATTTAATTGTTCGGCCTTGGGTATAGAGAAATAAATGTTTTACTCTGAATTGTCCAACTTTTTTCCTTTGGACATTTTAAGTGCTTATACAGTAAGAATTACTTTTTTTATTTCTTAATTAATAAAATATAAAAGCAAAAATTTAAATATTACTTTTGTGGCCGCCGGTATTTTAAAGGTTAGTATTCTAGTCTGATAGACATTGGTTGAGGAGCGCAAAACAGGCCCGATAGAGGTGTAGGTGTATTTCTTTCTAACTGACTAATAACCCCCATTATCTCAATTTTATCGTAAGGTTAAATTGACAGTTTTCATCCAAAAAATATTTTAACCAGCAGAATATCCACAGGTTAAACGATAATCGGAGGTGGAGATAACGGGGCTAATGCCATTGTCATCATCCGATTAGCATCATAAAATAACAGTAATAGTAAAGTAAAAATACTAAATTCGAGTATTTTTGTGAGACACTGTATATAGTGCTAAAATTAAACTAATGATTAACTTTTAATATTTATAAAAAAGGCTATTTCAGTGTCTGATGGATTTTATCGTTTAAAAGCAGTTGTGGAATATCCAAATGGATCAAAACGCACATTTTTTACAGCAAACAAAGCATGTAATTTACTCAGTAGCCAATTAAACGATGAACTATGGATTTCTATTGATGCCAATGGCTACGTTAACGCACTGTCTTTGTCAACTTCTGACGGAGATTTTACGGATTGTTCAATGTTAGATTTTTCCAATTTGTCTACGACCAAATTCAATACAGAGGTGTTGATTAAACATACTGAACTTGCTCCAATACCAGACACGGCAAGTTTTATTCAAAAAATTGAAAGAGAACGTGAAGCAAGAGAGCGTGGGGAAAATAAAGACAACAGGGGATTCTTTGCAAAATATGTAAGTATTTTATTTTTAAAATAATTTATAAAATATGAATGTTATTTCCAAACCATATGTAAATCATTTTTTATGCATTTTACACCCAGCAAAATATTTGCTTACAAATTCACTGCAGACTGGAGATGAACTCAGCACCTTCCGTATGCTAGTTGAACGATGCACAGTGGTATAGGAAAAAAAAAGAGGGAAATAATTCGGTAACTTCTAAACGGTTAATCCGATTTTAATGAAATTTGGTATGCACAAAGAGGAGGTGTTGTCGAGTTTAGGTTTTGAATTTGGACCTTATAGGCCAACCAGGGGCACGGCGGGGGGTCCTCAAATTAGGACACCTCGGCTATGTTAAAAACGATCCTATTTCTTCATTTGAGTTCCGATTTAAATAAAATTTCGTATATAGAATCTCCTCATCGAGCACTATAAAAAATGTAGCAGTAAATTATCTCTTATAGTTTAGGAGATATTCGCATTTGAAAATTAAAATTTTAAAATTTTTACCGTCCTTACTTTTGTTTTTTGATAATAGCGGGTCCAAATATTCCCGATTTTCGCCATTTTTTTATTCGCTTAACAACAAGTTTATATATCATGCAGTGAAAGAATTATGTAAAAATCATGACTGAGTCCAAAGTTATAGGCATTTTAATTTAAAAAATTAAAAAAAAAGCGATTTTTTGCCATTTTTTCGGGAAAAAAGTATCTTTTTCTTTTTAAGTTATCTAAAAAATTTCTAAGAAGATGTATATAGAATTTATACTTTTTGGAAAGCTGACTTTACATAAAATACGATAAATGAAACAAAACCTAAAAATTTTTGATACCGAGGGGACCAGGTCCATCCAAAAAAACCCTATTTTTTATGGAAAATTCAATTTTCTTAATCATTTTGTAACGGGTTTCGATAACCCCGCCCCTGGTATGGATATAATAGGCAAAAAACCAAAAAATCCAATTTTTGGGATTTTTTAAAACTTTTTTGGGAATTCCGGGATTTCTAATAAGAAAATTCGAAATTTTTATTTAATTTTGGATTTTGAGTTAAAAAATCTACCTAACTGTAAAATTTCATCAAAAAATATTCATAAATAAAATTTTTATTGCAATTTGAAAAATTTGTATCTTCGCAAAAACTGAATAAAAAACATTTTTTAATTTTTTTAAAAAAAAAAGTATTCCGCGAATTTTTTAATTTTCAAAAATTATATACAGTTTTGAAAAATAAACAAAATTACCTTTCCATTGATATATAAGATGCCTACCTAATGTTTTTTAAGTGACAAATTAATTAGGGAAAACTCAACATCTTTTAGAAAATTTACCTAGCACTATTATTTTCATCCATAAGGTTAACTCTTAAATTTGTTATATATATTAAAAAATGTTCAGGTATTATTTTTTAAACTGTAATGATTTTTACCCCTATAGGTCACTTTAATAGGTAGCTTATTAAAGTGACCTATTGAGGAAAAATTCATTACATAAGGAAACGTCGAAATTTTCTGATTGGCTGGATGAATGTGTAGAAGTTGCTATTTGCGTATCAACTGTTGGTGCAAGCAGTATGAGGATTTGAGTTCAAAATCAAAGAGGAGAAGGTTATCAACTTCACTAGAAACCTTATCTAACGAAGAAGTTTCGGACACTTTTAAAGCAATGTTAAGAAAAGAAAAACAGCCTTTGGATGCCATAAAAATTGCAAATATTCTTCCAACCGCATCACCAAGACGACTGAAAAGAATTGTAGAGAGTATACCCACACCATCATCTGATACAACGTTCACTGAGGAAGAAGCTATTGCGCTTATGTTGCAGCTGGGATTAAGTCGTGATAACTACATAACGTTAAGAAAGGCGCTATCTGAAAAAGGAGTGGATGTTTTACCATCATATGACAAAATAAATGAAAAGAAGAAAAGCATTATACCATCTCCTATTGAAATAACTGATCGGAAGGCTGTTATTGGACTCGGCGCTCTACTCGAAAATACTGCTTTAAGGATTGCTTCTGACTTTTCTTCAGACCAACTAAAAAAATAAATTCTTGTGATCTTCAACTCATTTGTAAGTGGGGATGTGATGGATTATCAGCACTCTCGGAATATAAACAAATCAACACAAGTGAATCATCTTCCGAGTATAAAAGTGTATTAATGGCATCGCTAGTTCCATTAAGAATTCGAAAGTATGCTGACAGCGATTCTCCATCAACCAGTTTCGATGATATTTGGAAGAATTCGACTCCAGGATCCAAAGCTTTTTGTAGGCCAATAAGCTTTGAGTATATAAAAGAATCCAAAACAACAACGCAAGATTTGATAAATCGTATTGAAGCAGAAATTAAAAACTTGGAACCTATAACAATCGAAATAGAAAATTATTCGTTTAACATGTCCTATGATTTAAAACTACTGCTACATATGTGGTGATAAAAAATCAGAATTTTCGAATATTTCCAAGCAAAGGTCAATAAATGAGGAAACATTACAATTTGGAATATCCCCCCTACATGCTCGCATACGATTTCTGGAACATTTTCTACATTTAGCATATGATTTAAAGTACAGAAGCATACCGGAAAATGCAAACAAAAGTGCAAATAACAATAAGGAGTTAATGGAAATGAGAGCCAGTGAGAAAAGAAGAATTCAAGAGGAATTTAAAAAGCGGATGGGATTAAATATTGATATGAAAGCACAAATGGATGGTAATACCGCTAGACGTTTTTTCAAACATTTTGAAACTACTTCCGAAATAACCGGAATTAATATGGATTTACTGCAAAAGGTCAATATTATTCTAATGGCGATAAATAGCAAGCATAAAGTGAACGCAACAAAATTTGGAGAGTACTCTACAAAAGTTTCTAAATTACTTTTGGAATTATATCCCTGGAAAGAAATGACACCTACAGTTCACAAGATATTATGTCATGGAAAGGTCATCATAGAGCATAATATTCTGCCTTTAGAGACTTTAAGCATATTCATCAGTTTAGCTCAAGGAAGTGTTCTAGGCAGTATCAAAATGAAGATATTTTTAATAATCTGATTCTATCTTCTGATCCTGTTTTATCTACTATAAGGAAACGTTGGATTTGCTACAAAACGTTAGCATTTGAAAATATTCATGAATTTAAAGATTTACTTTATCTTTTAGATATGGACTACTGTGATACCGATTATTTTACAAAATTATATTAATTTATAAAAAAATAAATAAAGACTATTTTTATATAAAATAAATACTTGTTAATTTTTTTAGGGATAAAGAATAAAAGATTAATCGTAAAAAGTGGCTGTAAAAATTCATAAAAATTTAGGTAGTAAAACATGCCTAACAAAGGTATGGATGAAAATAATAGTACTAGGTAAATTCTCTAAAAGATGTTGAGTTTTCCCTAATTAATTTGTCACTTAAAAAACAATAGGTAGGCATGTTATATATCAATGGAAAGGTAATTTTGTCTATTTTTCAAAACTATATAATTTTTGAAAATTAAAAAATTCGCGGAGTACTTTTAAAAAAAAATTAAAAAATGTTTTTTTGTCAGTTTTTGCGAAGATACAAATTTTTCAAATTGCAATAAAAATTTTATTTATAAATATTTTTTGATGAAATTTTACAGTTGGGTAGATTTTTTTACTCAAAATCCAAAATTAAATAAAAATTTTCTTATTAGAAATCCCGGAATTACCAAAAAAGTTTTAAAAAATCCCAAAAATGGGATTTATTGGTTTTTTGCCTATTATATCCATATCAGGGGCGGGGTTATCGAAACCCGTTACAAAATGATTAAGAACATATTGGGTCATATAAAACAGGTCACTATAATTTGATATCGACTATGCGATTTGCGAATTTTTGCTCAAAATTGAATTTTCCATAAAAAATAGGGTTTTTTTTGGATGGACCTGGTCCCCTCGGTATCAAAAAATTTTAGGTTTTGTTTCATTTATCGTATTTTATGTAAAGTCAGCTTTCCAAAAAGTATAAATTCTATATACATCTTCTTAGAAACTTTTTAGATAACTTGAAAAGAAAAATATACTTTTTTCCCAAAAAAATGGCAAAAAATCGCCTTTTTTAATTTTTTAAATTAAAATGCCTATAACTTTGGACTCAGTCATGATTTTTACATAATTCTTTCACTGCTTGATATATAAACTTGTTGTTAAGCGAATAAAAAAAATCGGGAATATTTGGACCCGCTATTATCAAAAAACTAAAGTAAGGACGGTAAAAATGTTAAAATTTTAATTTTCAAATGCGAATATCTCCTAAACTATTAGAGATAATTTACTGCTACGACAACATTTTTTATAGTGCTCGATGAGGAGATTCGTATATAATTTTTTTTAAATCGGAACTCAAATGAAGAAATAAGATCGTTTTAAAAATTTAACATAGCCGAGGTGTCTTAATTTGAGGACCCCCCGCCGGGCCCCTGGTTGGCCTATAAGGTCCAAATTCAAAACCTAAACTCGACAACACCTCCTCTTTGTGCATACCAAATTTCATTATTTCCTATACCACTGTGCGATGTACTGCTTGACATTTGCTAACGTGTGCTCAAAAAATAAAAAAAATAAAAAGTAACTTTTATTTTTGTTTCTTTATTTTGAGTAAGTCATTAAAAAAGTAGTTAATGGTAGTCATTGTAAGCAGATTTTGCTGGATATTAAAAATTGATTTGTTTAATATAATTAAAAGTTTGGTTATTACATATTTTTATTTTTATTATCAAATATTTTCAATTTAGCCAACTTTTAAACGCATTAATTTTATTTTTATTTTAGTGGATGTATATCGTTCCTGTTGTGCTGTTAGTATTTATATCTGGAGCAACTAATCCTGAACAACAAAAATAAGTTTTGTAATCTTATAAATACCAAATATACTAATGGGTATTTCCATTTTAAAATATACATATAAATAAAAAAATTAGAAAAATAATTACTATAACACAGTGCAACAGTAATTTTCACACATGAAAAAATATGCAAGAAGCCATATGTATTAACTCTGTGTTCTCAGTTTTTATACCCTACACCACTATAATGGGGAGGGTATTATACGTTTGTGCTGATGTTTGTAACACACAAAAATATTGGTCCTACACCCACCTTTAAGTATACCGATCGACTCAGAATCACATTTTGTCCGTCCGTCTGTCCGGCTGGCTGTCCATGTAAACCTTGTGCGCAAGGTACAGGCCGCAATTTTCAAGATAATTTGATGAAATTTGGACCAAGCATGTTTTTTGGCACAAGGACGAAGCCTATTGAAATCGGTCCATTATTTTACCTAGCCCCCATACAACCGTACCTCCCGATTTGGGCATTTTAAGCCATTCGCAAGCTCTAAGGGACTTGAGTCGGGAGATTTTGATGGACAATCAAAGAGTTTGGATCCCGATAACTACTCTTAGATCAACTTTGCCAAAGGTTTTGGTTCATTATCATGCTGGAAATCGCATTAAAGTAAGTTGTTCTGTTCAATGTACTTAATCCAATGGTTGCTTTTGTTGGCCAAAAATGTCCCAGAAAGTAAAACAATCCAATTTTATTTGCATTTCAACATCAATACTTACTCTACTCACCAAAAATCTTGCCCACAACCTTAATTGTTTGACCTCCATGTTTTTTTAAGCCTTTAATGTACGATCATGTAACCGCATATGAATCCCGCAGTGACATGGCACAGAGTTTACTTAAAGAAATTCGATTTTTTCACAAATTTTGTACAATTTTGCGTAGAATATTGAAATAGATTACGCAAGTCTGATAAAAAACAGTTTTATTTATAAACGGATCCACATTTTCCTTCTTAAATACAGGCAAAGTATGTGAGGCTCAAAGGCTGAAGGAAATATTATAACATATCCTTTTAGTGAAGGCCCAATAATGAATGGAGAGCAAAAATTTAAGGCTGTGGCCATGTTTTTTGAAGAGAAGGGTTAGTCCTGATGTTGAAACACAAACAGAGTTGGATTGTTTTTCTTCTTGGGACGTTTTTCGCCAACAAAATGAATTATATGATTGAGAACAACGAACAGAACAACTTACCTTATCAGCATGATAATGAACCAAAACCTTTGGCAAAGTTGATTTAAGAGTAATTATCGAGTAATGGGACCCAAATTATTTGATTGTCCATCAAAATCTCCCGACTCAAGTCCCTTAGAGATGTTGTTCGGCATTGAAGCGCTGGGTCGAAACTCGCAGTTTTAGAAAACATTGCAGCTTGCGAATGGCTTAAAATCCGCTTGGGATACATTACGAACTACACTAGTAACTAATCTATTCCATAAAGGTGTTTGGAACTCAAAAGGATCAAAGATTGGCTTAAAATCCGCTTGGGATACATTACGAACTACACTAGTAACTAATCTATTCCATAAAGGTGTTTGGAACTCAAAAGGATCAAAGATTTTCATAAGAAGATCAAAAAGTTGCTAAAGTTTCAAACAGCTAAATATGGAGTTAATTCAGTTATTATTTTCTTGTAACTCACAGCGAAATGGAAATAAACTTTTGTTGTTGTTATTATAATGTAGACACATAATGTTATTATTATCAATTGAAGCATGGATGCGAATAAGGGCGTAAAGACCACCTTTTCAAAATCGCGTTTTTTCGCATAATTATATTAAACTAACCTTTTTACATCTATTCATAAAAAAATAAATTGAAAAATATAAATTTTTCGCTAAAATAGATAGTTTTAAAAGCACGATTTTTAAATACTATTTATTTTTTTGGGTAAAAAATATTAGCAATTTAATGTATTTTTCTGTAAAAAATCGTATAAATTTTAATTCTAATTGCACCAAATTTGCAGAATGGTTGGAAAACATTTCAAATTTATTAATTTTTTAATTATATTGCAAAAAAGATTATTATTGAATGAATTATTTAAGTATGAAAGTGTGGACAAGAAGAAGGGCGTATATCCATAACTATAGTTATATTTTAAAAAATTATTATATCTTGTTATTTTCGGATTATTTTAGTTAAAGAGGTCCTATCCAATTTGATAATGAACTAAGATAATAATGTGGTTCGCTGATTTTGACAATAACGCAATAAGGTGCGATTTAAAGATTTTTCTAAGAAAGATTTTTCTAAGTACAATTTTTACTATGCTATTGTTATTATACTATTTTTATATGCATATTACTATAATTGATTGATTAATATACCAAAAAAATCTGAAAACCGCTTATAGCAAACAATTTTTTAAATATATAGAAAAATTTAACTGTCCTTACACCCTTTGAATACTTTTAAGCCAGAACGAATAGGTGGGACTTTTTAGGTAAATATATGAGGAAATACTGTCGTTTTCTTCATTCTATATAGGTACACTTGATTATTTTGTCTTTAAAATCAGTTTTACCTTCAAGTTGTCATAAAATTTTCGTGCATAATGGACGCTATTACAAATAAGATAAATAAAAATAGAAAAAGGAAACTTAATGTAGAGCAGTGGAAAGATCATAATAGAAAGACCCTAAAAAACGCCGGTAAAGAATATATAAGAAGAGATGGAAGAGTTGTACCTAAGAAGTGTCCTCCAAAAATGGTGATTATAGAATTAACATTGTGTATTTAAAAACTTATAAATTATTTTTAGATATGTAATTGTACCAGTGCATCAAAATATTGCAAAAATTTCACTAATCAGGAATTAAGAGTAATTTTCAATGAATTTTATTCAAAAAATTACAACATCCAACAACAGTATCTTAAAGATCTCATATGTATTAAGAAACCTCAAAGAAAAAGAACGAATAATATTATATCAAAACGTCAAACCACAATTCTTTACTATTTATATAAAGATGCCAACAAAATTAAAGTGTGCAAAAAATTATTTTTGGAGGCATTCCAGATTAAAGAAAAAAGAATAAGAGTGATAATAAATAAAATAAAAAACGGCACCATACTTACTGATATGCGAGGTTCCCATAACAACAGGCCAAAAAAAATTTTAACTCATGTAATAAACAACATGATTAATCATATAAATAGTTTCGAGGCACAGGAATCGCATTATAGCCGGCATAAATCGGAAAAAAAATATCTACCTGCCGACTTATCTGTAAAAAAAATGTTTGAAATGTATAAATAATTATACCCTATGGATAATATAACATATAGATCATATCTTCGAACATTTAACACAAAGTTTAAACTTGGCTTTGGCTTACCCAGGTCCGATACATGCAAAACGTGTGACGAATTATTCACAAAAATGATAAATTCAAATGACGAAGTAGAAATGAACGCTATTTCCAATGAATTAGGAAAACATCAGGAAACAGCTGAAGTTGCATATGCTACATTAAAAGCTGATGTTAATATGGCAACCGGAAGAAATACGTTAGTTGTTTTATGCGTCGACTTACAACAGGTAATAGGTTAGGTTAGGTTAGGTTAAGAAGGGTTATACACCGTAAAAAAAACGGTGTATATCCACTCGGAGACCATAAGGTCCATTGTGATTCCCTTCAAGAAGTGAAGATTCAAAACATAGAAGCCAAAACACTTCTACAACACAAGAATGAAAGAAAATAGAAAAGAAAATAGGTAGAGAGTGGAGATTCAAAAACAGAGAAGCCAAAAACGCTACCACAACACAAGAATGAAAGAAAATGGTAAAGAGGTCATATTAATAGATAATTAAATAACAGATAAGTAAATAATTATATGTATATATATATATATATATATATATATATATATATATATATATATATATATATATATATATATATATATATAATAAAGAAAATCCATGTCCCCCTATAAAGCCCAGTTAAAGAAGTGACTAATTCCCTTGACAAAACCTAGTAGACTGCGAGGGTTAAGTCCCGCAATTTCCCCCAGTTCGCCATGGAACCTATTCCCTAGCCATTTCAACCTGAGGTTCTGTATCCTAGGACACTGGCAAATAATATGCTCGATCGTCTCTACTTCCTCCTCATCCTCGCATAACCTGCAATAGTCCGGTACACTACTGTCCCACTTACTAACAAAGGTTCTAACTGAGCAGTGTCCAGTTAGAATCCCTATCAGAACCCTTAGACTGCGTCTGTCCAGTCCTATAAGTATTTTGGTAGCACCCATATCAAGTTTTGGCCACAGGGCCTTTGATATTTTGCAATCCAATCTACTATTCCAGGACTGGTTAATGATATCACGTATTCTTTCGAATATCAACCTATTATAGTGACAAATGGGTGGTTTAACCATCCTTTCCCTGTCATCTATATCAAGGTTCGAACCTAATCTAGCTAGTTCGTCCGCAACCTCATTACCATGCACATTACAGTGCCCTGGCACCCAACACAATCTAATGACAAACAGTCTCATAATGTCCCTAAGGGCATTTCTGCAATCTACAACTAGGTGCGAGTGTACCGTGTGACAATCCAATGCTCTAAGAGCAGCTTGACTATCAACATAAATTGTCACAACCGACCCCGGATCGATATGATTCCGAATCAGTTCCGTCGCTTTCCAGATCGCTAGGATCTCTGCTTGGAAGACACTACATTCGTCAGGGAGTCTGAATGACCGTTTTATGTTGATATCAGCGATATAGACACCGGCACCCGTGCCGGTATCCATCTTGGACCCGTCAGTGAAAACTGCACACCCTCCAAACAGTCTATCGGATACAAGCCAATCATCTCTAGTTGGAAATTCTATCAAAGGTGTTTCCCCGAAGTCTAGAGTCGTAATATCATAATCCGTAATTCCGTGAAGGGAATTACCCTGATCAAGCAGACCTACTTCGTACAAAATTTTTGTATGATTGTCGCGCGAGGGTGTCACTAACGAAGACTCGTAGAGTCTTAGTAGATTCCTAGCCGCCACACCCGATACAAAATGTTCTATAGGTGACAGGTTCAGAATGATGTCCAAGGCCGCTTGCGGAGTACTTCT